AGAGACGAGGAGAAGAGAAGAGAAGAGAGAGGTGTGTTGTGTGTGTGTGTTGTGTGTGTGTGGTGTGTGTGTGTGTGTGCGCGCGCAGCGCGCGCAGCAGGGGGGATAAACTTAAAAACAGGTCACTGAAATTTTATTGCACAGTTACTGTAACTGAATTCCGTATGTTCAAAGAACTAGAGAAAAGACTGAACATGTTAGATAGAGATAAGGAAGATATGAAAAGACCAAGGCCGGAACAAGGTGGCTCACGCCTGTAATTCCAGCACTTTGGGAAGCCACGGCGGCAGATCATGAGCTCAGGAGATTGAGACCATCCTGGCTAACATGGTGAAACCTGTCTCTAATAAAAATAAAAAATAAAAAATTAACCAGTCGTGGTGGCGGGCACGTGTAGTCCTAGCTACTCGGGGGGCTGAGGCAGGAGAATGGCATGAACCCGGGAGCGGAGCTTGCAGTGAGCTGAGATCCCACCACTGCACATCCAGCCTGGGCGACACAGAGAGACGCTGTCTCAAAAAAAAAAAAAAAAAAAGACCAAAATTGAACATTTCAGAGATGAAAATTACACTGCATGGAATTAAAGGCGGGTTAGATATTGCAGAAGAAAAAAAATCAATGAAAATCAATGAATCTGAAAACATGGCAAGAGAAACTAAACTAACCAAATGAAGCACAGAGACAAAAAATACTAAAAATAAAATTAATAACAAGATCAGCAAGCTATGGGAGAACTTTAAGTGGTCTAATATTAGAATGTAATTAAGAAGTCTCCAAACGAGATGAAAGAGGAAACAGAAATATTTTAGAATAATCTCCAAAATTTTCAGTTTGATAAAAACTGTAAACTCACATAGACCTATGGAATTCAATAAACCCCAAGCACTACAGATACAAAGAAAACTGCCAAAGTATGTCAATCAAATTGCTTAAAACCAGCAATAAAGAGAAGAGCAGCCAAAAAACCAGAACAAGGTGCATTACAAAGAACAAAGATAACCTGTGCTCAACTACCTGTAGAGAGTGATGCAGCTGGCACAATACCCACGCAGCTCCTAATATTATATTTCAATTACATCCAAGATGCCTCTTGGAAACCACAGTGCTTTAAATTCTGTAATGGTGGTGCACCTCACGATTGGCCTGAGCAATCTAACAGCATACAACAGTTTAGGGGTCTTCTGATCTGAGGTCTCTGACAAAGGATCTCTAAACTTTTTCTTAACTCCTAGGAATCTTACTAAAAAACAAATACCCACATAATAAACCCTCTCCTTTTTCCTTCTGTCTTCTCACATCCCCAGCAGTGTCTTAGACTTCTAATGGAATATTGCCACTACTTGTCTCCAAAGAAACATAAGAATGCTTTACCATACAACAGTCTAGGTGTCATTATCTATTTTAAATCTATAAAAACAAATCTTTAACACTGCAGTACTTGCCATTTAATAATCTAAAAAAGGCCAATATTTTACAAAGAATACTTTAAGAAGGTAAATACTGCTATGTCAAACATTCTTAATAAATTAATGACTGAAACTGAGTATTATATTTTGATCTGAGCTTCCCAACAGTCAAAACAAAATGGGAAACTGTATACTAGGTTATAGTTTTCATTAGCACAAAAACAGCATATTAATCATTGGTAAAGTAATTTTCATTTAGTTTTATTAGAATATATCAAATGATCCCCATATGTAAAAAGGTTTTGTTAACATGGTACATAGTAACACAATAACAACATGTACTGACCACTTACTAGATCAAAGTACCATACTAATACTTTTTTTTATGAATTTCTACCATCACAATTCCTTTTCCTGTGATTTTTTTTTCCCGCTTCAAATTTTCATTTGTTTTTAGCCTGCTCTAAAATTCTCAGTTATTGTTTGATAAATAAGAAACAAAATACTACAATCTCTGGGTCCTTGGTGAAAACTGTATTTCTCGCTGAAGAAACTGTACCTTTTTATTGGTTTCAGAAAAAATGAGACCTCTTTTTCATTAGCATTTATCAACAGTACAAGTTTCTTTTCATTTTTATTGTTTTTTTTGTTGTTGTTAAGAGTCAGGGTCTCACGCTGTTGCCCAGGGTAAAGTGTTGCCCAGGCTCCAGCTCCCTGAAGCCTCAAACTCCTAGGCTCAAACAAGTCTCCTGTCTTAGCCTCTTTAGTAGCTGGGACTACAGGTGCATGCCACTACATCAGGCTAATTTATTTAACTTTATTTTTTAGAGACAGAGTCTCACTATGTTACCCAGGCTGGTTTTGAACTCCTAGCCTCAAGTGATCCTCCTGCCTCCCAAAGTGCACCATGCTCAGCCTGAACTAACACTTTCCATGCATTGTCTCATTTCATCCTTACAGTCATCCTATGAGCTAGGCACTATTATCATTCCCATTCACTATTGATGCAGAAATGTTCTTTAAATGAATCTCGTATCTTTTTTCTATAAAAGTCAAAGAGATGACATTAAATCTTAGAAAAAGCATTTTTGTAGGTAGACTAGATAATGCATGTATATTTTAAAAATAATCTCCTTTCATAAACTTTCATTGAAATATTTCTTGATCTTTGTTGAAATTACTTTTCTAAACTTACAATTCACGTAAATTTCAAGCATCCATTAAATAAATAGCTAAATTGCTTCAAAATATGTGTTCATATGTATACATGATTGTTTCTTTAGTTTATTTTTGCCAAATAAATATCACACAGAAACTAGATATGTGTATCTTAAAAAACAGAAGCCTTATTAGATAAATTATATTTGTGAGCAAACATTTGGGAAGTTTTCACTTGGAGGAACATGCAAAGTTATCAACAGGGAGGCTATAGCGTAGATGACTTCATTTTAATAGAAGACGGAAAATGTTTAACATACTTTAATCTATAAATACAATCGGATCACTTTAAAAAGTTCACCAGGTTCTCCAGCACTGAAAGCACTGAAGCAGAGAATGAAGAGTCCTGTATGAAAGACGTTCTAAAAGGGATTCTGCTTTGGACAGTGTATTCGTTTCCTAGGTTGCCATAATAAAATACCAGAAACCACGCAGCTTTAAATAACCGAAGTTTGTTCTTTCACAGTTTTGGAGGCTATTAGTCTGAAATCAGGGTGTGTTGACAGGCCTTCTTCCCGTAAAATCTGCAGGGAAGAATCTTTCCTTGCCTCTTTCTAGGAAGCTTCTGAAGCACTTAAATCTCTGCCTCCACCATCATACAGTGTTGCCCTCAAACCCATCTGTTTCCATCTCTCTTCTCCTCTTTTTTTAAGGACACCAGTAACACTGAGTTAAAGGCCCATCATACTCCAATATGACCTCATCAACTTAACAAATTATATCTGTAATGACTCTACATCCAAATAAGGTCACATTCTGAGGTACTAGGAGTTAGGACTTCAACATATCCTGGTTGGGGATACAACTTGACCCATAATAGATTCAAAGAAAAAATAGATGATTACCAACTCTAACATGCTGAGGCTCTAGGTATGTTAGAAACAGACAGTGCAATATATGAACAACAATCCCAATTCATTCATTTATTTCAATTTTTCATGTCATTCATTCAACAAATAGGTGTTTACTAGGCATTATCCTAAACACTGAAGACACACTGAAAAAAAGTTCCTGCCTTCATGGAGCCGGAATTCAAATAAACAGGTCATCATTTATGAATATTTACTATGTGGCAAGTATGGTAGTAAAAATGTAGATGTTATCTCATTAGTCCTCACAACTCTTCTTGTTAAGCAGAAACTTTTATCCCCTTTACCACACGAGAAAACTAGGCATAGAGACATAGTTACTTGTTGAAGGTATCATCTTCTGGAAGAATTGACCCTTTTTTTTCATTATAAAATGTCCTTTTTATCTTTAGTGATACTCTTTGTTTGGAAGTCTCTTTTATCTGATATTAATATAGCTACTCCAGCCTTCTGGATGTGCTTTACTTACTTTCTGGATGTGCTTGGTACAAATAATCACGTTTAGATGTCACTCTCACAAAACAGAATTAAATTTATAATACCTGAAGAATCTCTCAAATATCTTGGGTTCAGCATTCACAGCTTCCATTCACACAAGGCTCTAAATTTTTGCAAAATAAATTAATGCACTGATTGTACAGGCTTAAATTACATTTCCCTCTTCAATTTACATTTCTGAGGTTTCTATTTGTATATTTAAATGTCCTAAATATACCTAGGAACGAAACAGTGAGCATAGTGGAGGCTCCAAGCCAGGCTTCGTGGTGTTCCCAGCAATGGTAGATTTCAAAAAGTTATTGAATGACAAACTTGCAAGGCTTCTGTCAAAGGATATCTAAGAGTTGGGTGATATGCCAGACAGGTGACTTGAAAGATGCCTTCTTACTCTCTGAACTTCTGACTCTAATATTAATAATACCTTATTATTTGTACCAAGTAGATTGTTAGGCAGAAATAAATAGCTGGTGCTCTTCAGAGATTAAATAAATACAGGAAAATATTATTCGTGAGAACCTACTAATTTAAAATTTACAGGAAATTTGACTGGAGTTTAAAGTCTGGCTTTGGTCTACTTTCCAGACAAATGAAAAAATGAATAGTGTGAAAATTATCTAAAGAAACTGTACTTCAGCACTTCGGAGATAATCATCTTTTGCTTTACAAACCCATTTGCTTTACGACGTACACAAAAATTATGTGCACATACTGTTTTTACAGTCTCTTTTAAGAAGCTCCTTACGAACAGCTATCTTTTTTTAGTTTACTTTCAGTTATAATGCATATACAAATATTAGTAAATCTTTCTTTTAAAAAAATTCTTTAATTCTGGATTTTTATCGATTCAAACTCACTTTTTCCCTAATTATTCTTAATGGTAAAATATTATTTATATCAGAATAGGCAATATAATACCAATTTACATAAAATAATAGTTTAATGGCTCCCTTACATGGTAGCTAACACTCTAAAATATATGAAAGAAGATTAAATTGTACCACTTGGAGATACAGCAAAGTAATCACTAAGGATATAGACAGAAATTGCCAAATTCACCAAAACTACTTACTTCCATTACATATCTGACTACTTTTATACTAACTCAAATATATTTTCTCACCTGCAGTTTCATTTCTTCTAAGTCTTTAGTTTTCTCTACTAGTTCTCCTCTTAGTTCTTCAAGCAGCAGCTGAAGTTTTTCCTGCTGAGTTTGCTTTTCATTAAACAGGTGCTTGAGTTCATTTTGTAACTTTATATATTCATTATGCAACCTGGTTTTTTAAAAAAGAATTCAATTTTGAGTAAATCCTTTCTTTCTAATTGCATTACTTTATGTAAAGTCAATCAACACTACAGAAAAACAAGACCAATATCACACATTACTTTAACCCCACAAATATCTTCCCTTTACAGAGTTTCATTTAATTATTAACACTGTAGTTTTGGAACGCAATTTTACTTTGGTGGGAGATGGAGAACACATTTAGCCATCTGGATACATTTAATCTTACATGTCTTGCTACTTTCAAAATAAGGTGTATAAATTCATAACCCACTTGATATCATACTTAGTTTGGAACAAAATAATTTTAAAGTAAAAATTTTACTATATTAAAAAAGTTTTAAATGTATACACTGCAAAATAACAAAATTATACTATATTCCATAGCAAACATTCAGCCAAGATAATGCCAATAACTTTTTAAAACTAAACCCCACTTCTAGATTTAAGTAATTTACCTTGTGTGTTCAGCCTTCAGAGTCTGATAATTAGCTTTATGATGCTCACATCGTAACCTTTCATCAATTAACATTTTCTGGAACTCCGACTGAGAACCTGTCAATCCGCTGTCTCCACCAGGAGGAAAATTATTGGGAAAAGTGTCCATATCGGTAAATGTGCTGACAACCATGTAAAAATAAGTTTTGGCTTTCTTACTGTTTTAGTTTTCTTTCCAAGAGTATTTCCTGCTCCTTTCTTGCTAAGGCAGAATCTCAGAAAGTCAAATTATACCTGTGCAGAGAAAAAACATAATTTGCGATCAGTAAAAGTAAGCTTCCTTTAATGTTACATATTTTTATCACTTTTATTATTCTCCTTATCTTTTCTTTTCTTTTTTTTTTTTTTTTGGGGGGGTGGGGGAGGAGTCTGCCCAGGCTAGAGTGCAATGGTGTGATCTCGGCTCACTACAACCTCTGCCTCCCAGGTTCAAGCGATTCTCCTGCCTCAGCTTCCTGAGTAGCTGGGATTACAGCTTTTGTATTTTTAGTAGAGACGGGGTTTCACCATGCTGGCTAGGCTGATCTCCAACTCCTGACCTCAGGTAATCTGCCTGCCTTGGCCTCCCAAAGTGCTGGGATTACAGGTGTGAGCCACCATGCCCAGCCTATCCTTATCATTTTTATTACAAAGCCCAATTCTCAGATTTTAATTGTTCATAAAACAAAATGCAAATATAAAGCCGAATCACACCTCGAAAAATTTTCTTTATTTCCATGCAGCTTCTGTGACCATAAAAATCACATCTTCAAGTATTAACCTAGCTCCACTAGAAGCACAGACTTCTCCAGTTTAGGTAGTCTTAAATTCACAAACCAGTGTTGTGTTTCCTGAAGCTACTGCAGTAAGCTTCAAGGATAGATCCTGGTACAAAATCCATACTTCCAAATTAGAGGAAAAGCTATTTGGAACCTGGTAACTGGCTGGGGAGAATCAAGGTCTTCAAAAGGTGACTCCCAGCAAGTAACTATGTCTATGATTAATGCTTTGAAGAGTCTTTTATTTGACACAATGCAAGCTGCACCCAGACTGCAGATTCAGATGAGAAATTAGTCAACACATAAATATTGATCAACTCCTATTTGTTATACACTGTTAAGAACAGAAAACTAAATCTACCTATCTCCAAAAGCACTGACTCGGTATTACGAACGTCACTGTTTATTTCATCTAGAAGTAAAAAATGATATTTCAAAGTGTTCTTATAACTAAGAACAAAAATTTTAATTAAAATAGTTGTCTCCTTTCTTTCTCTAGTCCCATAATACATATATACATATACACATACATATACACATACACACACACACATATATACATACATATTTTTTTCCTGATAGAATCTTCCTTAGTCATGGGTTATTAACAAATCACTTCTTATAACAAAAAAAAATCTTTGTCCTATGCAAATCAACCATTATTCAGCCTTGCTTGAATTATACCATCTCTGATAAATTAGTGTGATATCTACGTATTACTTAAGACAACCTTTAAACTATAATTGCAGTTGTTTTGGTTTACTCTGAAATTATATTTTAACAGAAGGGGAAAAGTCCCTCAGGAACATTATACTCCTTACTCTTAGGTTTAATGTGCACTGGGATTCAATCTTTGTAAATACAGAACGTGCTATCTGTAGCAGCTACCACAAAATTATCCTGCCAAAAGTATACATTTGCCAAGGATTAATGAATTGCATCATAAAATTGGCATTCAATTTTTACTCCACTGTGGGTAATATGCTATCAAATAGAATCTCATGCTCCAACGAAATCTTTCGTGAAAAGAAGAATCAACTGATGTGGCAAACTTCATTGTTGTCTCATATTAAGAAATTGCTACAGCCATCCCAACCTTCAGCAACCACTACTCTAAATAGTTAGCAGCCATCAGCAGAAAGGCCAGACCCTCCATCTGCTAATAGAGGATGACTTACTGAAGGCTCAGGTGATCAACAGTATTTTTTAACAACAAAGTACTTTCTAATTAAGGTATCTACATTTTTAAGACATAATTATATTGTAAACTTAACAGACTACAGTATAGTGTAAACATAACTTTTCTATGCACTGAGAAACCAGAAAATTCATGTGACTTGTTTTATTGTAGTAGCAATCCAAATAAGTTAAAATAAGGAAACACTAATTGCTAAATGTAAGATTAGGTTTACTCTTGGCTTCTTAAAGCTTTATAGGAAGAAAAAATATTTGGGGATTAATAAATACGTTTGGCTCCACATTAAAAATTATTCTACGGAAAAAAATACATTTTTAAAGATTATAAAATGTGTATTTATAAAATGTTGATATGTGACAGCTCAAAATTGCTTATTTCCTAGGTTCTCACTAAAAATTAAGATTACTAAGATTTAACTAAAAATTAAGATTACTAAGAGTTAAAATTCTAGTTAATACATACAATTCTGTATGCAAAGTGTACAAGAAAAAAACAAAATTTGTTTTTGGTGAAAAATTGTTTTAAAAGACATAAAAATGTTTTTATTTAAAAAGTAGTTTGTCTAATTCAGAGGTTATTGAAAGATTATTTCAAAATATGAATTTGGAAAAACATAAAAACAAGGCAGAAAGTAACAAGCGAAAAACAGATACAAAAACTATGACAATGTATTTTTGGTAAGAAAAGAGAATGACAGTAATTTTTTGTATAAAAAAATCTTATGTGGTTGAAATGATAGAAAAAAAGGGAAGTAAATTTTTGTCCTAAGGTAAAATGATTGTTTCAATATAGAAAAGAGAAATATAAGGCAAAACTAAAGGATTAAGCAAGTTGTAGAAGGTCTGGGCAAATTATGAAAGGTTTGTGAGAGATGAATCTTATGAAAGAAATTTTATTTGTGAACAAATTGGCTAAGATGAAAAGTAAACTATTTATAGGTTTGTCTTAAAATTGACTCCTCATATCAAAAGTACACTGATACAAAACTAAAATTTGATCTTCTCTTTTAAAACAAGATTTCCTTAGAGTACTGACTACTCTCAATGAAAAAATAATAAAAGTACATTTTAAGACCAAAAAACCACTATTTAAAAATAATAAAAGTAGATTTTAAGGCAAAAAAACCCCACTATTTAATGGAAAGAGAAGTTAATAATGATAAAGGTTAAATACACCAGAAAGATGTGATGATTTTAAATTTATATGCACTTACTATGGCCACTAAATATGTAAGGCAGAAGTTGCCAAAACTCTAAGGAGAAATAGACAAATTCACAATGATAAGAGGAGAATTTCACCACTATTCTTGGTAACTAATGGGACAAGATGATTTTAAAAAATAATCAATAAGAACACAGATAATTTAAACAACACAATTAACCATGCTGACCTAACTCACATATGGAAGACTATACTCCATAACTATAGAATACACACAACTCACAAGTATACACATAACATTTAGAAATATCGACCACATGCCAGGTATTTTTTAAAAATTTCAAACATTTTAAAAGACCAAGATCATACAAGACACCTTCTCTGACCACAATGCTATTAAACTAAAACTCAATACAAAAAATAACCAGAAAAGCCACGTGTTTACAAAGTAAGACACACATTTCTAAATAACTTATGAATCAAAGAAAAGGTCAAAATAGAAATTAGAAAATATGTAGTACTAAATGAAAATTGATACCCCATTTCAAAATTTATGGAATAAAGGTTTCTACTTTGAGGAAGATGGAGCAGATACACATTTTCCTTTTAAACTCATTAATACAACTAAGAGTGCTGGATTTAGGTATATGACAAACTTAAGACTGAATAACGGAGACTAAAAGGCTGACCACCTAAGGACCTGAGAATGCAAGGACAAATATAGTGGTGAGTTTAGTTCCCTGGGCTTTCTTTTTCATGTATCTCAGACACAAAGCTGAAGAAACTGGCAACCAGGAAACACCAATTAATTCAGACAAATAAGTCTTGAACAAAAAAAGCCTACTCTCTAGCCAAAGGAACAAAAAAGAGGAAGCCTAGCAAGATAATATGTAGACAATTACCATGCACTCTATCCAAACACCACACACACACACACACACACACACAAAACTGCAGTTCCACCTCCATCCACACAAGCAAAGATCAGGTGGAAGCCAAGGTAGGCTATAATAAAATACCCTAGTACTGGGCCAAGATGATGCACAAGAAGGCTGACTAGAAAACAGAAACTTCCATTGCTTCCTGAAAACATAATAAAGTTCAATGATCCCGCAATGTCAGAGGAGACGACACAGAAAACCTAAACTTTCACCTCCACCAACAGTAACAAAGAGGACCTCCCCCACCCCACTGAAGCGCTGGCACAGAAGGCCTAGTTAGGACAGGCACAACCACCAACAGTAATGAGGTTACCCTCTCCAGGGTATCAGTGAAGATCACATGGAGAGCCAGAACTACAGCTACCTGGCAATAACAAAGACCCCTCCCGCAAGCTCCCTCCCAAAAAAACTAAAGTGTCAACAGAGGCCAATTTAGAAACCTCGACTTGCTAGGCACTATGGCTTGTGACTGTAAATCCCAGCCACTCAGAAGGTGAGGTGGAAGGATTGCTTGAGACCAGGAGTTCGAGACCAGCCTGGGCAACAGTGAGACCCTGTCTCAAAAAAAAAAAAAAAAAAAGTCATTAGCTGGGCATGGTGGCATGTGCCTATATGCCCAGGTACTTGGGAAGCTAAGGTAAGAGGATTGCTTAAGCCCAGTTCAAGGCTGCAGTGAGCTATGATTATGCCACCACACTCTAGCCCAGGCAACAAAGCAAGACTCCCACCTCTTAAAAAAAAAAAACACAAACAAAAAAAAAACCTTGTACTTCCACCCCCACCTGGCAAAAACAAGGTAGTACACCCTCTTTCCTCTACCAGAAAAGTGTCAGAAAAAGCCAGCTAAAACAAAAGGTTTAGATAGAATCCATGGTATTATAATATCCAAAATGTCCAAGTTTCAATAGAGAACCACTGGTCGGCCAGGCACGGTGGCTTAGGCCTGTAATCCAAGCACTTTGGGAGGCTGAGGCAGGTGGATCACCTGAGGTCAGGAGTTCAAGACCAGCCTGGCCAACATGGCAAAACCCCATCTCTACTAAAAATACAAAAATTACCTGGGTGTGGTGCTGCATGCCTATAATCTCAGCTACTCAGGAAGCTGAGGCAGGAGAAACGCTTGAACCCAGGAGGCAGAGGTTGCAGTGAGCTGTGATCACACCACAGCACTCCCGC